TGTTATCGTGTATCTTGTAATTCCAGGTTGGAATATCGCAATATGCAATTGAATATAAACATACATATATATATATGTCTATTTGAGCCAATCTTCGATATGAATTTCACATATTTTGTAAAATCTAATAAATAGGTCGTATTTGTGTCGCATATGTGTGGGAAAGTGTTGATTGAAAGTTCTTTGCTTAAGGTCTGATCGTATTTAAAGTAATCCTATAATGCTTGGGTAAACATTCAGATATTGGCATTGCAGATCCACCCTTCAGCGTTAAGGGTTATATTAGCATATAGCGAAAAAATCAGCTTTACAAATCAACATTTCCAGTCCACTAAGGTGGCAGTAATATTTTCACTAATATCCCAGAGCAAAGATCGACATAATCTTGTAAATACTTATCTGGACAAATACCTTTTTTGTGGCTTTCCTTGCTAGTTTTTTGACCGGAAGAAGTTATTGAGTATCTTTTAATCTCTGTAAAGTACGATAATGCCTATATCTAATTTGTTTTTCTAATTTGTATATCAATTAACTTACGCAAATGCTTGGTAATACCTTGAAACCGGCTGGTCGATAGATCGTATCATGCTTTTATTATACCCATTCTTTGCAATAGATCCGAGTTATTTGGGTCTAAGCCGTCTTGTGCTTTTGCCTCAGTGCTGTGAAGCGCATTGTGTCCGGCATGCAATCATCTCGTTTGGCATTGCAATTGCGCTTGGCTGGCGGATGGGTCTTTTAGGAGGAGTGGTTGAGTCTGGTTGTCTCTTATCTGTGCAACGCCTGTGGCGCAAATCTCTCTACACGCAGCGGTGCCCCCGAGTGGCGACCTCTTGCGACTGCATAAGTTTTTCGCTCATTACTGCGGAAAAACTCGATCCAAAAGATTATAATTGATTAAGATGAATCAGCGTTGCGGTCAAATGTTTGATGGGAATATAAATTGTTTGTGGTTTTGTGTAACGATGCACTTGGACAGCAGGCAGAAATTCCAAAAACAACTGATGAAGAAGAAGAATCAAAAAAAAAAAAAAACAGTTGGCCCAGCGAAATCAAACGCAACATTTAAAGCTGACTGCGCCGCTGGTGCCGCCTGTTGATGATGCGACTGATGCTTAGGGATTGGAGCTAGCTACGCCGGAGCAGTAGGGTGTGGGGGCATCGTATGGCTTCAAAAGTGGGAAAGCATCATCAGCACAATGCCAAAATGCCACTCGGCTGCAAGGCGGTAAATCTAAGCCGTGGTAAATAAATCAATCGCACTGCAAATTTTCTTTCTGCTGCGTTTGATTTTTCGCTGCAGTTGTTGTTGTTGTTCTTGTTGTTGTTGCTGCTGCTTGTGGTGTTGCAGCAGCGGTGGCGGCGGCTGCTGCTATGGCTATTGATGAGCGGCCATCAATATTTGTCTAGTTCGAGCTGGAATGTGGCCCGGGCATACGGAGAGAGAGAGACTTGAGACCAGGAGATCCGCGACCTGGGACCCGGCCTAGTGTGAAGTCTTCGTCTTTTGACTTGACTCCATTGCTGATTGCGTGTGGCAAACTTCCTGTTAGACTTTGCAATTCTTCTCGTTTGGCTTGTGTGTGTGCGTTGTTGGCCACCCAGCCATAGACAAAATGTTGCACTTTTTTATTGCATACAGAGATTGAGCTCAAGGTTTGGCCAGCTAATTAAAGCCTAGCTGGCACACACAAACACACACACATATCTCATCAGCAACAGTAGCTCCACTTCAGATTGAATGAACTGCCCACGATTCGCCCACAGACTCGAAAACTGAAAAGTTGAGACATAATCATCATCAAATATTGCACTCTGATATGCTGGCAAGAAAAAACTTTAAATGCGATAAATTTTCAAATTATATAATACTTTATTTATATAACATTTGCATTGACTTAATTGACAATTGGACTAACTGACTTGCCCATGGCGATTACTGCACCAACGATGACGTGTTGCACATTGCACATTACTCTCTCACAAAAAACCAATGAGAACTGTTGTATAAGGAAGCAGCAATAGGAGCAGGCCTTATGCAAATTTCACGTAGACTAGCAAATGCACTGCCAAAGAGAAATTGGAAGTTATGTTATTGAAACTATAAATTACAAGATAATAAGATATACATAACCCCACGTAGCGTGGTGGGCTAAGCGCTGTCGGAGGGGCTCGCTGTCGAGCCCCGGTGTATTTGAAGCACAAACAAATTACAATATCAATTTTGTATTAACAGAATTCGGGTGATTCTCGGAGACAAATCGAAAATATACATAAAATTAAAGAATGAAGAGTCCTTTATTTATATTTAAGAAGTATTATATTAAAATTAGGTAGCTTTTATACTCTGGTGTAAAACTAATGTGCTCCATTATTCTCCTTAAATAAATTGTGTAGAGTATTATAAAGAGCTTGAATGAAAAAAAATAGAATAAGTAACAAGTCTGGCAAACTGGCGACGCATGTGGGATGTTAAAGGTGAGGTTACAAGCAGCCAAAACCGACAACAAAAGCAACATATACCGAGGCTGAGACCAATTCATAGCCCAAGCCCAGAGTCAACAACAGCAACAGCAACAAAAACAACAACAACAGCAACAATTGCTAGAGTTGAAGGCAGCTTGGTTGCTCGCGTTGTTCCCATTCCCATTCCCGTTGCCCCGTTTCCATTTGATTTGTTTTGGTTTGTGGCAAGCGTCGTGTGCCTTGCCACACATATGGGCACGGCGATGACAAACGGAGCGACTGAGCCCAGACAGACAGTTAGATGGATAGACGGACAGTTGGACAGACATTTAATTGAAATAAAGAAGTTTAATTTAGCTAAAAGTTGAGGTGTTGCAGTCTGTAACTGAACCCGAGAGCTAAAACTGCTGATGCTGCGCTGCTGCTGCTGGTGGTGGGCTGCGTGGGAACATTACCGATTGAGATTAGCTTAAGAGAAATAAAAACAAATGCGGCTCATAGGTGGCGCCAGCATGTGGGCTAAATGTGTCGCCAACATGCAACGCACTCAACTGCCGCCTGAAGATCGCATTATTACGACACAATTACAAGCTCTGAGGCGCCCCAGTCGGCCTGGTGGTGTGCCTGTTGTGCCTGGTTCGCCATGGTCCACCTTGGTCCGGTAATTGCAATTGAAGCGCAATCAATTACCTACCGGCTGGTGGTGGCTGTTAGGTAGTCCGTCTTCAGTCCGCGTTGCTGTAAGTAAAAGTCGTCTTCACTGGCCACCACCACCAACACCACCACATGCTGTGATCCGCTCGCTGTGGCTCTCGCCAAGATTTACTCGCTCGGCCACACTTAAATGGAGCTCAGCTCGCCAGTTGATTGCGTGCAATTTATTAAGACGCGCTAACAAGACGTGTGAATGACCAAACCGGAGCAGGTCCCAGAAGCTGTACAGCTGCCACATCGTTGGTTAACTCCTGCCTGCTGTCTGTCCCCCTGGCATGTAATTACACTTGGCTTTCCCGGTGGTGCTCTTATCTATTTGATGATTTTTATCTAGTCAAACGGTTCTTGTTGCAACAATAAAACACCTTTAAAGCTAAAGAATTGATTAGCTGAAGGGAATATATGCTTAGCTAGTATAGAAAAGTTTCATTACCAAAAGAGAGTAACTAAAGTTTTAATCATAACTTTATGTTACCTTCTCTTACCTCAATGGAAGCATATGCACCAGGTTAAGTAGAACAAGAAACTAAACTTTCTTTCGGTGCTTAAGGTTGCAACTAGTGAGTTTATGTGAACAGATGAATTTTATCTAATCGATCTTAAGTGTTTTATTCAAATTAAGAAGGAAAACAAAGCTCAGATAACTTTTTGTTAATTCCAAGCCGAAGTTTTCACTCTAAATCTATTTAGGGTAAATTATAAATGGATATATCCGTCAGAAAATCTGGGTGGGTTCATTGTGGTCGTTCTCTCACTTTCCAACACACTTCTTCGCATATCTATCTTGGAGCATCTTTGTAACTCTTCTGGTTCACAATCAGTGCCGTCTCCTGTTACCACGATTCACCCACGCAGCCCACAGCTTGTGTCAGTATCTCAACTAAGAAGCCTATTACTGTCTCATTCCCGACTCATTCAGCTCGTTTAGCATGCTCACCAAAGGCTAATCTTCAAGCTGAGTGACTACCACGCTGGCCACTCAAGGGGCCATGGGCTGCAGCTCCATCTCCAGCCCCGGAGACGACAACGACGACGACAACGACCGCGACGACGATGACGATGACGACGGCGACGGCGACATTGGCGACAGGCCATTGTTTTGACTTATTGCTTGGGGTTTCTTACTGCTCTAGCGAAACAACAAGATTGATCTTTGTGCAAATACTTTTTTTTTGTTTTTCATTCGATTTCTGCAGCGACTCGTTTGACTGCACTTGTTCGCCTCCGGTTATGCTGCCTGTGCCTAGCCCATGAGTTGTTAAATGTTTAACACGTGATATGACAAATAAATTACATATGATCAACAGATGCAGCGAAAAAGGAAACAAACGATCCAACGAACCAACGAACCAGCGAGCGAACGTCTATGACTTAATAAAAGCTTGTAACGATCAATCAGTTTTATGTTGTTGACGTTGTTCTACATTCATCATCATCGCCGTCATCGTCATCTGGAAGGCAGCCAACCACAGCTTACAGTCCTATACAATATTTTGCGTCTCCAGGATCGATGTGTTTGCTGGTTGAGATTGATCTGATTGAAAATGTTGACTGAACATAACGAAGTTCGTATTTCCCATGGGTACAAATGAATGCATATAAATGTATATTAATAAAAAAAGAATGCTCTTTTTGCGCTCGCCCTGCTATGCGATTCTCAAGAAATTTAATAAGACTTTCTGGGCTTCGATTTTGGGTAGTATTTAATCAAATTTTTTTAGACATGCTTCTTTATGCTTCCTTCTTTCTTTCTGCTGCACTTACTCTAACTCTCACTTTACTTTATTTTTGTTCTTTCACAGATGTGTTTGGCTTTGTGTAACTCCTATTTTATGGACATAAAGGAATCATTTGTGTGTATAAAAATTAGTTGGTAAGTACTAATTTTTAAATTTAAATTTAAATTTTTCTATAAATGATTACTTATTTCAAGGGTATTCAGGGCTGGGCTAGGTTTATCTTTTAGGTTCTTACTTTTGACGTAATCCAACTCTTTTTCAACTCAGCTCTTATCTCGACCAGCAGTTTTATTTATGTAGCTGTTCACATTTATATACACCATAAAATCTTATATGATTTTTACCCAAAGCCCAACTTAATGATGTATTTGCTGCTCTCGTGTTTACTTTTCCTGGTCGGCAATTCTTGTGCCAGTTCCCATCTACTGCCGAATATCGAGCAACAAAATTATAGAGCTCTCAGTCTGGATGTAAATTGGGTTTCGGGTTGTTGTAGTTTATAGTTTATAGAAGATCACTTGCCGCAATAAGACACTTAAGACTGACGACGCCATTTGGCCTCGAGAGAGAAGTTGCAAATGCCGCCAATAAGCGATGCTTTGCATGACGAATAGAAAAACTAACCCAAAAGTCACGCTAATAGTAAATTGAGCTCAGTACCCAACACTCATAGCTCGAATGCACTATGCCAACACATGCCAGCTGAAAAGCAACACAAGATAAAGAAGTTATCTCCGCAACGCCGCGCACTGAATACCCTAACAGATCCGAGTTAAATGATAAAACATAACCTGAGCAGAGTTAAGAGAGTGAAGTAATCTTTAGGTATATATTTATATTTTATTTATTATTATTTATATAACTGAGCTATTGATATAAATATTATCCATAAATTTGATCACATTTCATACACATTAAAAGAATATTTGAAATATTTCAACTTTTGATAAAATATGGTTTGTTTTCGACATAGCTTCGGCCGTTCTTAAGTCATATTTTGAGGTTTAAGGGTCGGTTAATAGTAAATAAGAAATTGGGATTTCAGATTCAAAACGTTTCAGCACAATACGTTACATATTTTGTATGAAAACTGTAATACCTTGTTGTGAGGGCATAAAGACAGACAAGCTGATACACAGCCCCCCAAAAACGGCGCATAGAAATTGCAATTTTTCATATGCATCAATTGACACCCTCTAGGCACACGTCGACGTCGTCATCGTCATCGGCGTCAGAAATTTCCCAGACATTGCAGTTTTCGGAGTTTCGGATCGTGTGCTGGCTGCTTGCTGATGTCCAAGCGGGGACGACAACAACGACGACGTAGATGATGATGATGGTAAAGTGGATTAATGTGGCATGAAATGATTTGGTGAAATAATGCAGTATGTTGAGTGTTGCACACTGGACACACGGCGTCTTGGATCACAGTTGGGACTTCAAGTTTTTTTTTTTCGGCTCCTCACTCACACGCAGTGGCCCACTCTAACGAGTTTTTCATTGGGTCTCTCACATAGCGGCTACCTGTACACATTTTTTTGTTGTTTTATTTTTTGCACAATTTCCATGGCCCGTATGGTTCTCTAGGCATGCAGGGCAATTCCCATGACTTGATAACACAATTTGGTGCCAGTGATGCGGCAGAGACTTCATTTACCGCAAAGTGCATGTGGGTTCAGCATGGCATCTTGGCCCAAACTCTTTGGCCAACTGGCTGCTGGTAGTGCGTGGTGACGCCGTTGCCTGTGACTATGTCCCGCGGTTATTACCACTAATAACAAAGCCACACAGCACAAGAACAGGTAACGGGTCCGTCTTTGGCATAGTTCCATACTCAGCACCACTGCAATTCTCGTTTCTTGGCCACAAATGATCACAGATTTGTCTACGCAGCTTGAACAACGCCTCCTGATTGCTTCTTCGCTTCTTGAGAATATGTAAATAGATTTCTGCACAGCATTTAGCAGCATTTTTTTTAAGTATTGTTATGGGTATTGCTGCGACAATTATCGAGCAATTATCACAGCTTCTATAAAATATGCAGCTATGGCGAAAATGACTCAATATCTAATTAATACGAAAAGCATGCTGCCATTTGAATTTTTCCAAAGAATTTATAAAATCAATTCACAATTCCACGTGAAGGAATTAAAAGCAGATAACATGAGGATAATTAATAAGCCCCATGACAGTAATTTTTTTGCATACTGTGGCGACGCTACGTGGATCAGCATTACAGTCCGTAAAAATTGATTGACAAAAATTGATTTAAACATAATTATCAGAAAATATGATTTGTGAGGCTTATTCACATGTATTTTATTTTAAGGAATCAGTTTAGATAATACTTTTCTAATATCTCCCTTCATTTATAGCTCAATATTTAATAATGTTGTTGTGCACAGTTTATTTTTGAGCATATTTCATGCAGTGCAAAATTTCCTGTTCACATTTTTCACAATTGTTTTAATTTTGTTTTTGTTATTTTTTCATTAAAATTCCTTAACGACTTCGTGAGCTGTGCTGCCAAATCAGCACAACTCCCACACCATTTTGATGCCATTCAGCACCACGCGGCTCCACCACCACCACTAGTACCGGCACCACCACAATGCACTTCGTATTTCGTGCTCTACATAATTCATCATCAATCCACACTGTGGCCAACTGCCACACTGTTGGCGTAGATGGTTGGCGATTTGAGCAGGCAGCGTTTCCTGCGGGCAGCAAATAAGCAGCCAGCTTATGGGCAGCGGTGTGTCCGGGTTGTGTGGTGTTGCGGGTCTTGCGATATTTCCAATCAGGCGGCGTCGACAAAAATATTGGAGCAATTTCCTATGCAGTCAACGGACCAAAATGCTTTTGTATGACTTATTTGCCTTTAAGAGTGCCGAGAGGGCTGGGACAATGTCCAGTTGGCGGCGGTTCTCGTTTTAGCCTTTTGCACCTACAACTTAACACCGCCAACTATCGGATCGGAGCGGGCGATGGGTATCGATGCCGATGCCGTCGCACCTTTTGCCATTGCCAATTTAGCTATGCGCCGTGTTTCGTTTTCGTTTCGTCGTATGTTTCGCCGGTTTCTACCGATCCAGAGTCAACTTTGGCATGACTTTTCATCGCTGTCGATTGTCGTGATCAATTGAGAGCAATTTATTATGAAATGAGGGTGAATTATATGAATGAGCGGCATCTAGGCAACCCTCTCTCTCTCTCGCTCGCTCTCTTTCTCTCTGTTGCACTGCTCGGCGCGTTAAGCGCCGCACAATTCTTTTGATCTTCAACCGGACTGCAGTCCAGAGAGTTATCTAGTCAAAGACCTCATGAAAGATCTGTACATTTTCCAACTGAGAGTCCTGATGACTTGTTGCACTTTGCATTCGGTTTGAGTTGTGAGTGTGATTTTTAAAAGTGTTTTACATGGGAAACGACAACGATATCTACCGTGAACCCCCCCATCTACCCGTAACCCAACGAAATGCAGAACGATGCCAAAGACGATCGAGACTTGAGTTTCACCAGTTGTTTTTGTTGTTGTTGTTGTAAATTGTCTGTCGACAATTATTTTATTATGCTGTCAACACTTAAATGTAATAATGCCAATAATATTGTTTTATGACAGTCGCAATATCTTTGTGGAGGCGCACATTTTTCGTGCTTTGGATCGATCTTGCAGTGGTTGCGGTTGCCTTGAGGCCTTCTACCTCCTCCTCTACTTCAGCACCTCCTGCGCCCAACGTCTTTGCCTTGTCCTCGGCACTTTAATGTCGGTCTAGTTGAGCCTCTTAGCTGCATTTCGGTTTCGTTTTAGTTGGCTTTTGTCCAAAGATAGAGGTCAGCCATGATTCGTTTGTCTGTGCTTCTCAGTCTCAGTCCCAGTCACAGTTCGCTTCATGCATATAGTTTGTTACCTCTACCGGGTGATTTGGTGGGAATTCTAGTGCGCTGGGCCCCAAAAAGCTTACCATCGCCAACGTAGCAGAGCACTTAGAATGCTCGCATTGCTGTCTGTTTTATGGCCTCAACAAGTAATTGGTTCATTAGCCCTGCAGTTGGAACCGTCGTCCGAACAGGCAACTGAGGTAGTGGCTAACCAATTTGATTCTTTGGCTTTAGTTGGTTTAGTGTCTGATTTTAAGTAGTTCACAGTTGATTTGATTGCTTGCGCTCACCGTTGGCAAAAGTTCAAGTGGTTAAGGCCATGTTAACCCATTGGCTGTCTAAGAGCTCCGCCAATTTAGTTTATACTACTGTTTTTCGAATTTTCACAACATTTATATGGCACTTAAATTTTAAATGATTCCCAGGTAGCAACACAAAAATATACCTTCGTGTGCCAGGTAAAAACAGCAATTAATTAGGCAACACCTGAGCTTTTTAAAATCACATTAAAGCTTTTTCAACAATTGAGTAAATATCCAAAATTCAGACAAGCCAATTTATTAATTTTCTGCGTAATTTATATAAAGCGTTGCTTAAGTTTTGAGTGAAATACATTTTGGAAATTTCTGTCCAATTTCTTCACTGGACTGATCATATGTCTGCAAGGGTATTTAATATTCGGTGCACCTTCAAATTCATCAAGTCGTCTGCTATAAAAAAATTTTGGTAATAATTGAAATTTTAAGGAACAAATTCCGCAGATGTAGCCCCTTTTAAACATACCATAGCGTAGAAATATAGCTATTTGATGGGAAATATTCCAACAGAAGGACATTTCAGACTTGGGTGCTTCTTTTACGAGGCTCACCAGCATAGCTTTCCAATAATCACTAAGGTGATTGAGTCTGAGGGCATCAACGGTTTGCCTGGTGTTTTTCTGCATGAGCTCGGGTTCCGTGGAGCTGCTGGCTGGGAGCCAGTTCGGGTTGGTTCAAGTTTAAGTAACATGCATCAGGAAGGTCTACTGTCGGCGTTGTCTGACGGCTAACGGAATTTCTAATCGAACAATTGGCGCTGGGCTGTTGAAGGTGGTGCAGGTTGTAAAGTTGTGGGCGAAAGGGGCGGCTGGAGGGCAGGCGCGGTGTGTGGAGCAGCACTTACTTGTTTTGTAGGCCCATTGTGTCAATGCGGCAATGACTGGCTATCAACTCATGGCCATCAGAGCTGTGGAAACTGTTGGAGTTGCAGTTGC